CCGGAGGGGTAAGCGGAGTATGCGGCTGCGATGGTCTCTCGGGAGTCTGCTCCTGTTGTGCCTTTTGTTTGGAAGAAGGCGACGATTGAGTTGGCGTAGGTGAATTGAATGGATCTACAGGAGGGATGGTCAACCGACATTAGATACGCGCATATTACCGTAGGACGTGCAAGTAAATTCAGCCTGGTTTCATCTCAGGAGAACACAAATATAGTTCATACAAAAATATCGGATTCGTTACACAGCAATGGGCAGCAAGCAGTAGACAGTAAGAAAGTACATAGTAGTAGAAAGCAGGAAAGTACATAGCAATGGACAGTAAGAAAGCAGTTGAAATTAATACTTATACCCAGTCAAAGTGGTAGGGCGTGGAACGGACCTATTACAAGTGTAAGCAATGTAATAGTTGAAATGAAAATGAAAATGAAAATGAAAAGAAAAAGCACTTGCCAATTATGAGTATCCTCCTGAACCCCAGCCCAGTCAACGTTTACAGATGTCTTCTTTTCGAAACTACCGGAACTACTCTCAGAAAGAGTACGCGGCCGATCCAGTGTTATAAGATTGCGGAAGTAATCTTCTACGACTTTGCGCATTTCTTCCAGGATCTGTGGTGTGATTGGAGTCTGTGGTGCAATCCAAGGGTAGGCCTGCATGTGTGAACCGCGCAAATGATATGTCTGCAGGCCCATGGCCTCTGCAATCTTGTTGTAACACTCGACGAAATCGAAACAGCCGAGACAGCTGAGTTTTGTCGCAGAAATGTAGTTGAACGCAACAAGGCCATGTAAAATGAGAAACGCAAGGACCTTGCATTCGGCATGGACCTCAAGTCTAAAGCCAAACTTCTGCAACTTATCAACTCCGCGCTCCATGTTCAGCTTCCGTAGCTTGTCAACAAGACTGGCATGGGAGCAAGGAACCCTTCCTGACGACATCATTGCTTTGAGCTCCTCGTTCGTTGCAAGATTATAGTTCAGATACCCATAGTCAGGAGTATTCACGCGCTTGATGACAAGATCCTTCTTGTCAAGGATATAACCGAACGAGGACGAGCGTGTGAGGACGAGGAGCTGGAATATGCACGAGTCCAGCGTAAGGATTTTCTTGAGCCTGCGTTCAAAACTTGCACCTTGACGGATGAGACTCGGATCCGAGACATACGTCTTCACTGTACAAAACTGTCAGTAACTCATACAAGAAACCGGCAAACAAAGCAGAATAAGCATGCTGCCAGAGTGTTGGAACAGAACAAGAAAAAGCAGCAGAGCTGGTCATCCTGAATGCAGGGCTCAACTGACGATATACCCAAATCGCCCGACCAGATGACAGAGGAAGAGAAGGAAGCGTTGAATGAGGACCACGTACATATACCATCCAAGAACTCGCCACGCCCCTGTAAGCCTCGATTCAACCAGCGGTTTGTCTCCGAACACAATTGCATTACATTGACAATGGACCCCTCCTCTGACAAAAACCTGTTGTACGCTTCGAATAGCTGGATAATCAGGTCAACGAGTCCCCACTGGACGTCCCATAGTGGTATTCTCTCCTTGCCTTGTGGAGGTGTGTCCTTATTCCTCCTCGCATTCGTGAGAGCCTCATACATGAAATTGCCATTTGCCTTGTCGAACTGCCTCTTCAAGCGCTCCCGTGAGAAAATATAGCACTGATGAAAGAGTTTTGACGATGCGTCGGTAGGTATGTCGAACTCGTCAGGGGTACCTTCACGTCCTGCAGGGCTACGTGTAGCCCGTGCGTTCTTAAGAGTGGTCCAGATAGCCTGTAAGTGCTTCTCTGCCTCGTCAAGACCGTCAGGTGAACCATTTTGCCCAATAACGAGCGTAATGTTGTTGGCAGGTGTGGGAACGTAGGCAACACTGATAACCTCCTTTCTAGGCTGCTTGACGAGTAAGGGTGTGATAGCATCAAGCCAGGCCATTACGCGCTTAACAGGCAGGTCCTTGAAGGGTGAATTCGGCAGTAAAGGAATGAGGCTTTGGAGGTCTTCACGTTGATCGCGAGGGAGTAACTTTGTTCTTGGCACCATGAAGATATCGAAGATACAAGCGGCAACGAGACATTCTGAGAATGAGGATGGGTGGTTTCTGGACTGCCGCTTGTAGGACTTGGAGCTAGCAGCAACAGAGAACGGCTGAGAGTCGTCAGTGGACATAGTGGCTTGGAATGAAGATAGGGGGAATTGCGTGCATGTGGACGCGACTAATAAGGCACAGCAGTCCGGCACTTCCCTTCCCAGTCGGGGTGTGATTTTGGTACGATACTTCGACTACTAACTACCACTCAGTGATTCCGACTTCTTGCTTCTGCCGGTGTAAGATAACCCGTTCACATGCCCCTGGACTGCTTCAAATGGTGGAATACAATATATATATATGCATGTATTCAACTGTCTAGAACAGCACAGTGCAGTTCGATTGATTCTTTAAGGTCCCCGGTACGTCTATCCTATTATTATCCTGCCTTGTCCATCATCCTGTACTCACCGGTTTGTATTGTCAGTATCTAGGGTGCGCAGATCAGACGGCTTCGCTAATACAGTAGGATGGTACCTACAACTAATTCGGAACGGCACGGTACAGTTCGA